TAGTGTAGGTGGGCTACAGTACCAGTGATGGCAAATATGACAGAAACAATAACATATCAGCAAAGGAACCAATGGTTTCCTTGGGTGTGGATAATCATGTTTGGTCACAAAGATTAATCATACTAGTTACTAATAAATCCAGTTGAACAACTATGATTTCCTGTAGCTCTGTTTATTTTGATCTTAAGTAATAAATGGCTGTTGGAAAAAATAATAAAGTAAAGGCAAATACGATGTTGCTGTAATGCTGTCTTGTGTGTCTATGTGTGTGTTACTGGGAATGGAACCCAAGACCCCGGAATGGCTAAGCAGGTGACCCACTACTGAGCTACAGTATCAGCCCTTATCCCATGTTGACACTAACAGTAATTTCAAAACTCTTCAAGCACCATTGCCATTTTTAGCCTGGGGACCAATAGAAAATCAAGCATTTTATTTTTAAAATGTTTCCTGCATGTTAGTGCTTTGCCTGTGTATGTCTGTGTGTACCACATGTCTGCCTTGCACCCATGGAAATCAGGAGGGGGAATCAGATCCTCTGAACTGGAATTGTGGATGGTTGTGAACTAACATGTGGTGCTTGGAATTGAACTTGGTTTCTCTGGCAGAACAACAAGTGATCTTAACTACTAACCCATATATTTAGTCCCACATTCTTTTTTTTTTAAAGTAAAAAAGCCAAGCAAATCACACACACACACACACACACACACACACACACAAAACCACAAACAGCAACAACAGCAAAACAAAAATCATTAATATTTTCCTCTTTGGACTCCGAAGTGGTCATCTCATTCTTTACCACATCCTGTCATAGAAGGAATAGGAGACTTAAACTTATGAGTTATCTTTTACAAGGGAAACCCATTTCCCATACTTTAGACCATAGCTAATATCATTTCAAAAGGACCCATGTTTTTCTTTCTCAGAGAGGGTTGCTCTATTTCCCTCTTCCCACCTCAGCCTAGAAAGAGCCTCTGCTTTGAGGGAATGAAGATGTGCATAGTCTATGCAGGCCAATGGCATGGTGAACTGTGCAGAGTGAGATGTGTCAGCATTCACCATTTAACATCGGGAGGAGGTAATTTTATGAACACCAGTGCTTAAGACCGCACTGCACGAGACTGTGGAGAGTCTGTTCTCTTGGAGAATGAGGGTGGGAACTGTGCGAGAAGCCAGCCTAACTTTCAGGTGGAACTCTGCATCCAAGTAGTAGTATAGGCATTTGTGTTTATCACAAAGGTAAGACATGAACTTTGAAATTATGTATAAGTTTTGGGATAAAATCAGACTGTTGTACCTTACTTGGCTTCTATTCTTTCCCAGGTTACTCTCATGATAGTATTAGGAGGCAGTAATTTATTACACCCACTAAAAACTTTTCATAATGCTTGTTGGCACTAGAAGGGAATAATTTTGAAGGAAATGAATGTTCAGTTACTTTGGAATGTAGAGCTACACCTGAGGGAAGCATCATGTGAAATTGCATTCTTTTCCCTACTAAATTTTACTTTTGAAGAAACCTTGAGGAATGCAGAATATGGAACCTTGAAATATAGTGGCATCTGCTTCCACTGTTATAGTACTCTAGAAAGCAAGTGGTGCTGGGAACTTAGTAATAACTAAGTAGCTAAGATGCACACATAGACCGCCTCACATGCCTTCAGCAAAGAACTGGGTCAAGCAAATCAGGGAAGCAACATTGGATAAGGAATTAACTGTAGGGTCAAGACTGTGGATAAGTTTCAGGTTGACATGAGTTAGACCATCAGCTCCAATGCTTACTGGGTGGTCTTGAGCATTTTGCTTCTAAAATTCCGTTTCTTCATTTACAGAATGGAAATAATGGTAGTACTTTCATTGTGATATGTACTTTGAGGAATAAATGCAATAATAACTGCAAAATACTTAATGTCTGTATCATAGTAAATCCAAAATAAATGTCAGACAATTTTTTACTACAATGACTATTATTGCATGTCATATAAGATGTTTTTATTTGTTTATTGAAAATATTTCAAAACTAAGTAATACGTTAAGCATATTTACATGTGCCATTCTGGCTTTGTGGGAGCCTAGGCAGTTTGGATGCTCAACTTACTAGACCTGGATGGAGGTGGGGGTTCCTTGGACTTCTCACAGGACAGGGAACCCTGATTGCTTTTCGGGCTGAGGGGGGGGGGACTTAATTGGGGGAGGAGGAGGGAAATAGGAGGCGGTGGCGGGGAAGAGACAGAAATCTTTAATAAATAAATAAATTAAAAATAAATAAATAAATAAATAAATAAATAAATAAATAAATAAAAGCATGTGCTATCACATCTGGCAAAAAAAAAGAAGTCAATTTTTAAAAGTGTGTACCCTTGAAATACCACTAACATGACTGCCTAACCATGCCTTAACAAGGATGACACCAATGGACATGCTAACATGGATGAGTGCGGTGGAGGGCTCCCAAGGCCTCATAATGTTGAGGAAGGGAGAAATAGTCCCTCTAGGAATGAGCACACCAGTTGGTTAGCCAATGGCAAATAGTAAGCTCCAAAACCACACAAACAAGTAACATTATACAAGCTGAGTAGGGCATATTTACATATTTATGAACACACACACACATGGAAGCAAGCAAGGGAGTTCTTGGAAGGGTTTAGAGGAAAGAAAGGGAAGTGAGAAGTGATGTATTGTACTCTCAAAAAATAAAAACATTATTGTTAAAATATATTTTAAAGGTTTACTCCAATTTGCTCTGGAAAGCCATTTTTCTTGCTATCTGCTACCACATTGATCACACTACAAGTCATTAAGCTAAGTGAAATGAGCCAAGCGCAGAAACATAATTACTGTAGTAGAAAGTTACATCCAGAGAAGCAAAGATAGGAACAATGGTGAAAGGCCTGAGGGGAGGTAGAAAAAAGGAGACAATTGTCCAAGGTGCAAAGCCAGTTACTAATTGAACACACTTGGGAATACTTAATCAACAGTATGGGCAGTATTAGATGTGTTATATACATATACATATCAAACTTTCTCATTTTGTGTCTTAAATATGTTCAATCTTTTTCTGTCTGGATATGCCAAAATGTCTTTCTCAGAGGAGCATAGGGCAATCATAGGTAAAATTAACTCATGTTGACATGTATGTTAACAAAATTGGTTAAACTCAAAGTCATTGCTACTGCTCCAAACCAGTTGAGGGTTGTTTTTCGAGACAGGGTTGCTCTGGAGCTTAAGGATTTATTCTTAAGGCTGACAATTGCTTTTCTAAACACAGAGGGCACATGGTGGTTTGGGTGCAGGGAATGAGAACTGTGCAATGCCCTGGCACACAGGCTCAGGTGCCGGGCACCCTGAACGTCTGCACATTGCCCAGACACTAACTGCATGAAGGTAAAAGTTGCTTAGCATTTAATCTTCAGTTTTTCTGTTTGTAAAGTGTGTCATGGAGTTTATAAGATGGTGGTGAGCATAAGATGAGCCAATCAGCATATAATAGCACAAATCCTGGCATCTGATAACTAATCAGTAAATGATGGTTATTATTTTTATGATGTTACTAATTTCATCAATTTTCTTCCTAGGGTATCACAATCATTTTCATTATTACTCAATCTCCCACATTTTACTCAACATTGTTTATAATTTGTTTTACCCATAGAGCTGGCTATAAGAGGAATAAATTGGGAGAGGAAGAAAGGTCTATACTAAAGCAAAAATTATAAAACACTTTGAGGAGCATGATTTGATGGGTGAATCTAGAAGTATCATTTTCATAAATGGATAAAGGAATTGACTGCTTGCGAATATTACTAGTTGACTTTTGGGTTTTCAATTTCAGATTGTAGATTGAAGAAAAACAATGAACTTCTATAAATAATTAAGTCTTGATTTGGCATTATATTATAATGGCTTCCTGGCCACTAATGAAGAGGAAAAAAGGCTTTGTGATTTTTCTTTAAGGGGAAGTTGACTCTGGGAAATTCTTCTATATTGCCAGTAGTGCTCATTTTCAATTCATAAGTTCAATTCATGAGTGTTGACCTTTAATTAAAATCATTTTGTTTGTGGCTAAATAGACAATTTCAGGGGTATGTTTCTTAACATAGTGCATAGGCTATTGTGTCCATTCAGGGCAGAAACTGTATGGTGCTGTAGCTCCCATAGTGTGAAACCATGAAGGCAGAATATGCCTCAGGGTCGGGGCTCATAGGAAAGTCCATTATGACCTGAAGCACAGACCTCTGTATGTGAAGAAATGAGTGCATCATGATGAACAACCATTTTGCATCATTGTTATTGATGTTGGAGAAAGAGCAAAGATGATGACCACATGGATATTAATGCAGACAGGTAGATTGTGGTCACTAGCTAATGCTAATTTCTATCTGTTACCTGCTCTTTACTCTTCCCCTCTCTTTTCTGTTCTCACAGTCTCCCCTTCTCTCTTGACGCCCTCACTGATATGTTCATTTAGCCCTTTATTCTGATCACACAAAATGGACCAGACTCATTAGAAAGACATTTTATTTCATAAGATTTTTATACGTTGTCTATCTTATTTTTTCTCTGACGTAGTTATAGTTTTTAAAATATTTTTATTGTGTGTGTATTCCTGAGTGTATGTATGAGAGTGTATGAGAGTATGTATACTCTGCATGTGCAATGATGGCAGAGTCTAGTAGATGGTATTGGATCCCTTAAAACTGGAATCACAGATGGTTTTGGGCCATTACTCCTGCCATGACTTAGTTTTTCTCTGTGAAGGTTAAAGCTTTGATGATACATTATCCTTCTAGGAAAATATGGAAAGCAATATTTAAGTTATGATGAAAATTTTATAAAATAAATTATTTAGGATTCATACTCTGAGATCACAGAACTAAGCCTTTACTCAGAAGGAGAGTGACAATTTCTTATCAGATGGTACACCACATTTATGCTTAGAGGGCTTTCTTAGCATTTGTCATGTTTGATGGCTACTGGAATCATTGCCTACTTACTGGATGGAGCTCTCAATGCGGGTGATGGTGAGGAAAGCAGCAAGGTTTGCTGTGTATGATGAGATGACAATCAGAGCAAATAACCACCATGCCCCCATCATCATTCGAGTTGCCAGAGTTGTGTATGGGACTTCCCCACCTGTGGAAAGAGGAGAGATGACAGCAACATCAATAAGCTTGTATTGAAAAACTGAGGTCATACACACTCAGTGCCAACACTGGCAAAAGGCTTCCTGTCCCTATCATAACTGAGAGTCACTCTTCTCATCTACACATTGGTTTGTCCTTGGGTGAAACCTTCAGAATGCATACATTCCTTCTATACCTTAGCAAGACTGAGTGTCATCAACATTTGGTGAAGTAACACTTTTCTCTGGTCATGAAATGACCATTAGCTTGCACAGAATGGATTGCTGTGGCAGCCATGGCCAGTGGCTGTGACAGTTTTCATGGCTAGTTTTATGTCAACTTGACACAAGCTAGAACCATCAGAGGAAGAAGCTTCAATTGAGAAAATGCTTCCATGAGAACTGGCTATAGACAAGCTTGTATGGTTTAATTAGTGATTGATTAGGAAAGGCTCAACCCCTTGTGAGTGGGCCACCGCCGGGTTCGTGGTCCTGTATTCTATAAGAAAGCAGGCTGAGAAAGTCATGGATAGAAAGTCAGTGAACGGCAAACCGCTATTGCCTCTATATCATCTCTTGCTTCCAAGTTCCTGCCCTGCATAAGTTTCTGCTTTGGCTTCCTTTAGTGATAAACTACAGCTTTGAATATAAGTCAAATAAACCCTCTTCTCCCCAACTTGCCTTTTGGTTATGCTGTTTCATTACAACAATAACAACCTAATCAAAGCCGGGCGGTGGTGGCACATGCTTTTAATCCTAGCACTCGGGAGGCAGAGGCAGGCGGATCTCTGTGAGTTTGAGGCCAGCCTGGTCTACAAGAGGTAGTTTCAGGACAGGCTTCAAAGCTACAGAGAAACCCAGTCTAAAAACACCAAAAAAAAAAAAAGCCTAATTAAGTCAACACTGAAGTCAAAATAATACAATGAAAAGCTAGCCTACGGCAAAGAAAATGGGACTATTACTATGTCCTAGGTAGAAGTGGGGGGATCACCACGCCCCCTGATTCTACCCACTGATACTTCTGCACCAGATTTTTGAGACGTATTAGAGAATATAGAAAGGGGAATATTGACTAAGGGAGGAGGGGCTTTTGGGCATTGCCACTGACTTTGAGGTGGGACTTTTGAGTCACACATACTATCTACAAATAATCCCTAACACGTGTTCCTAAAAGTAGATTCAACAAACTCTTTGGTTCACTAACACTTGGATGAAATCCTTTCTTTGATCCCTTGGTGCCCTGTCTGGGGCTAGTAACTATTTTTTTACATCTACTCAGGAAACACAACATTCTACATGGAGACCATTCAAATTTATATTCAGGTCCTTTTCTTTGTAGAACTAATGACAAAAGCCAATATTCACCAAGAATCTAAAGGAGATCTTAAATTCAACACATTGTTCTAACATCCAAATTACCTCCCCACCTACCTACTTTACATTATGCCAGAAACCGGGGTGTTTCTATTATGTCACTTCTTAGAACACCACTTTAAAAGCCCCATCTTTCAATATGAAGCAAATGCTGTCACATTTTCTGTCAAATTATATTCCCAAACTATTTTATCTCACCAGTTCCTACAGTGATATCCAGATCTAAGTCAGCAGCTTTTGATTGTGGCAAGATTTAACCTAATTATAAATTTTCACATGCAGGACTCAGAGGAAAATGACTACTGAACTTTCCAAAAACAAGGTGAGATAGTCCTTTAGGACTTCATGAAAGAGTAAGCAACTGATGAATTTTGCCAAAATATGTGGGACAGTCTTTCAAATTTTCTGCTTCATGGAAGGGTCTGCCAGACATTCTGTGGAACATAGAAGAAAATGACTGACAAACTTCCAATATAGGCAGGACGGTTTCAAATTTCCTGCATCACTGAGAAGCTTGCCAGACATTCTAGGTCTTTAGTGTAGTAATGAGGGGAGCAGGCCTGCTTTTTGTCCCACCCGGCTCCCGCATGGCTAGCTTTACACGCAAAATAACAACACACAAATTGTATTCTTTTAAACACTGCCTAGCCCATTAGTTCCAACCTCTTATTGGCTATTTTTCACATATTGATTAACCCATTTCTAATAATCTGTGTAGCACCACGAGATGGTGGCTTATCGGGAAAGATTCTAGCCTATGTCCATCATGGGCCGGGCCTCATGGCATCTTCCTGACTCTGCTTTCTTTCTCCCACAATTCTGTTCTGTCTTCTCCACCCACCTATGTTCTGACTTATCAGGCCAAGCAGTTTCTTTATTAATTAACCAATGAAAGCAACACATAGAAAGAAGAAGCACCTACATCACTTTAGGCTGAAGATAAATGCCCCAATGTTATAGAAAAACTTTTGGTGACTGTCCAGACAGTCAGATATTTCTGTCATTTCTAGAATATTTAAAATTGCTCACATTGTGCTTCCTGTTCATTTACGTAATATCACCCTTCTGGGGTCTTTGATGCAGTTGAAGACTAGATAGTTATAATTATAGTTTTCCTTAGTTATGATAAAAGATAAATTAGATATGAAACTTTAGACTGACAAAGATAGATACAATTGATGATAGATTTTTTTTAATTTTGTCAAACACAAATAAACTAAATGTTGCAACTGTAATTATTGCTTGATACCTGTTTTGATATAGGTAACTGTACTATGTTAAAGTTAAAGCCTTCCTTTTTAATTTGAGAAAAAGGAGAGATCACGTAGGGTATCCTTCTGTATGCTGTGAATATGTTTTATTACTATTGGTTAATAAAGAAGCTGATTTGGTTAATAGTCAGGCAGAATAGAGAGAGGTGGGCAATCAAAGCAAAGATCCAGAGAAAAAGAAGGCAGAGTAGAGGGAGATGTCAGCAGCCAGATGAGAAGCAAAATGTGAGGTAACAAGCCACAATCCTCTTGGCAAAACATAAACTAATAAAAGTGGGTTAATTGAAGTTGTAAGAGCTAGATAATAATAAGCCTGAGCTAACAGGCCAAATGGTTTGTAACTAATAAAAGTCTCAAAGTGGTTACTTGGGAACTGACAGGTAGGAGAGGAGCCTCCATTTACAACCCTTCACATTTCTGAGTCTGAGTTTTGTTATCATGGCCCTCTCAAATTAATACATACTGAATATTGAACATTAATAGACTTTATAAAATGAAATTAGGCCCATATTCACAGTGCAAATAAATTAGAAGAACAATATTTTTTCCTGTTAGGTATATAATATGTGAGTATATTAACATTATTCAATTGGTTATGCCAGGCATAGTTTCACTCTGACCACGGTTCTCATATGTAATACCTCTATATTTCATGAAGTGTAAACATGTCTTTTGGTTATTTTCTAAACTATCAGTTCAGGCCATATTTTTATACATGGAACACAAACATTTTTTCAAAATCAGATTAGATACATTTTAGATTTTTCTTTAAAACAACGGGCATTTTCACTTAGTTTTTAAAAGATGATAGCTAAAGGATATTCAGTTTTAAATTCCCATGAGTTTTGTTTTTTTTATTTTAAATTTATTTATATATTAAGGATTTCTGCCTCCTCCCCGCCACCACCTCCCACTTCCCTCCCCCTCCCCCGATCAAGTCCCTCTCCCTCATCGAGTTTTGTTTTTGTTTTTGTTTTGTTTTGTTTTGTTTTTTTGAGAAGAAGATCTTACCCTTGAGAAGACTTAAGACTTGCTTTTGACCACATGGAAGATCAAATTGATGAGTTTCTTCTTTTTAGCATATAATTTACAAATCTAATAGCTCAAATACTCTAGCAGAACCCAAATACAATGCCATTATATTTGATATCTACACATAGAAGTTAGATAATAAAATTAACAGAAATCTTCAGGAGACAAAAGCAAGTGGATCTCTGATTTTGAGGCTAGCCTGGCCTTATATAGTGAGTCCCAGGACAGTCTGAGCTACACAGAGAAACTTTATCAAGAAAACCCAAGAAGAAGAAGCAGAAGGAGGAGGAGGAGGAGGAGGAGGAGGAGGAGGAGGAGGAGAAGGAGAAGAAGAAGAAGAAGAAGAAGAAGAAGAAGAAGAAGAAGAAGAAGAAAAAGAAGAAAAAGAAGAAGAAGAAGAGTTTGTCTTCCTGTTTGGGTAATGTTGGACTAGATAAATCATAACAGCCTTGAAGTCTTAATTTCTTCTCTTATTTCACTGTTTCACATTTTGGAAAGCCAAGTAAGTCAGAGATCGAAGGAATGCTTATCAATGTACTCACAATCAGGAAGCAGAGAGACATAAATGCAAACTACTGCTTAGCTCTATACTGCTACAGGACAACATTTCAGCCAGGGAATGGGACACACACACACACACACACACACACACACACACACACACGTTAATGCAGTCTAGATAAGCCTGTTCAGACAAGTTGAGAGGCCTATCTTCTGAGTGATTATGTCATATTGACAATTAACAATAACCATCTAATTCTATGCATGGCCAACTAGACACCTAACAATGCTACTTTTAATTCAGTTGACTATGACCATGTTATAATATAAATTTATTCAGCTCAACTTTAAGTTACTACAGTCTTTAATTATTCTTAGAAACATTATTAAATTATTAACTGAGTGCCTATAGGATTAAAAACAAATTATATATGCTCAACATATAATGGCATAGAATAAACAAACATTCATGGTCCAAAAGAGAAGAATTGGGGAATATCAATGAATGATCAGAAAAAAGCAAGTCCAAAATCCATCAGAAAAATTATCAAATTCTGTCACCCCATGGCTGGCATCAGGGACTTATAATAAAACTCGCTATGTTCCAAAGGGCTGAGATAGCTTTAGGCCCCAGCACAGCCACCTGCAACACACAAACCCATCTCACAGGTTGGATCCATTCTATGTCTACAGCTATCCTTGATGGCCATTCTGTAATCCAAGCATGTAAACTTCCCTTCACAATGTCGCATAATGGCCTGGCAGAGATTCTTGACCCTGACACAAATTGCCTGTCATCATTTGCTCTCTGATATGCTGAACAAGCCTCAATG